TTTTTTTTTTTTTTTTTTTTTTTTTGTTTGAAAAATCCAAAGATTTTTAAATCCCAAAGAAAATCTTCCAATTCTACCCCTAAAAAAAAAAAAAAAAAAAGAAATTACCAAGTTTTTACTTTTCTCCCAAGTCCCTCAATTCACAATAAAACACCAAAGTGCCCCTTCTTTCACTATCACCACTACTCCCCCAATCATTGCTCGCCATTTGTACTCTTCGCCACGTCAGCTTCCACTTGTGTTGCATTGGTCCCCACCACTAATTGGATCGACTGTACTGCAGCTTGAGTTGCTGCCACCACCTTCTTCCGCCGCTTAGGGGTCCCACTCTCTACCGACGACAACGACGAAGTAGGCTCCGGCGAAGACCGAGACGACGACCTCTTCGACGTCACTCTAACCGGGTCGGGTTCACCCGAATTAACCCGAAGCGGAAAATTAAGAAGAGCTTTAGAGCCCCGCATCCGATAAGCGGCGCGGTCATAAGCAAGCGCCGCATACTCCGCCGTCTCAAACGTCCCAAGCCAAACCCGAGCCCCGTTTTTCGCCGGGTCACGAATCTCCGCCGCGAATTTCCCCCACGGACGTTGCCGTACACCTCGATAATGCTTCCCCTTCGCCGGTACCACCGCCGGCATCGTCGCCGCCGCCACCTCCACATTCGCCGGAACCACCGCCGGAGAAAGAATCAGGGGCTCTGTTTTGACATCAGAGAACCCAAAATTAAAAGCGTCCGACGGCGATGAGCCGAGCAGAGGATCCCAACCAAGGTGGACGGCGTCGTGAAGAACTCCGGCGAGAAACATGTCCTCGGAATCATCCACTTTAAGAGGCAATTCCCCCCAATTTTCAGTCAAACAAGGGTACAAGCTGGTGAAATTGGAGCTCCCGCACAACCCCGGCGCGGCGGCTCCGGCGACGGCGAAATTCCCACATCGATAAGGCTCGGAATCTCCCAATAAATGGCGGCGGATGGTCTCCAGAAGAACAAAATCCGATTCACAGCCATTACTCTGTCCGTACATCATTTAAAAATCAAAACTTTATAGAGAGAGAGATCTAAATCTGAATGAAATTTGAAGAATTGGGAATATGAAAGCTATTAATAGGTGAATTAGATTCATGAACTTGAACTGTGTGGGCCATTTTTTAATATTAAAAAAATCGACAAATTATTATTATTATTATAAAATGAATAAAAAAAAGGTGCAAGTTGTGCGGAGGAATTTAGTCACGTGTGGAAATTGCCATTTGGATTAGGCCACGATAGTGTGACATCATCGCTCGTTTCTTCTTTGTCGGTATGTGCGTCATCTTCTATTTTCCATTTTATTTCATTTTTCACAAATTAATAAAATATATTTTTGAATTTTTAAAAATTATAAGTATTCATTAAAATTTTAAAATTATTAATAAACCTTTAAAAGTTTAATAATATTTTTATTAAAATTATATTTTATTGATGTTTTTGTTTCATTTGTCCCTTTCAAATTTTCAGCTTCAATTTTTTTTTATTATTAAAAATGTTTGTTAAGGAAAAAAAATGATTTTTTAATAATTAGAAAAAGCAATAAATTCATTAGAAAAATAAAAAGATCGAAAAAGAAGTAAATAATTGCCAAATTGTCTCTCCCTCTCAAATTCACTTGTTTGTACAAGATGAAATTTTGGCCCACACCAATATTTTTATATTTTATTGTTATAATTATATAATTATATTTTAAATAAATTTATTTTTTAATAAAATTTGTAAAATATTTATATACTCATTTTTTTAATATTTAATTAATAAATTCACGTTAATTCAATTCAACCCGTCTAATTTTATGAAAATCATGAAATATAATTTTAAATTTTTTTAACACCAATAGTTCAAGGGTCATATTTGTAATTTAGTTAAATCCAATTGGTTTCAAAACTATAAAAAATATTACGAACCCTAACTTCAATACATCGAGACACATTTGTATGCACGTTTACAAGAGTTTTAAACTTTTTCATGGAATTTTAGTTTTCTTTTAGAGTCACAACGCTCCCCTTTTTCTGTATCCAAACACATTTGTACGTATAATCATAGAGGTTTGAGAAACATTACGCAAAAATTTGAAAATGTTAGGCACAACAAGAATTGAAATATTTAAAACTACTCTCGAGGACGAGCAACAAGTCTTTTCCACCACTACTTTTTGTATAAATGACTTTTTGGTGTACGTAAAAGGATTGGAACATATCAATACGTTACGGTCTTTTATGTAATATGGGAGCTTCACCAACTCGGGTCATCATTTTCATTTAATCGTTTTCCACCCTAAAAATGAGATTATTTTTTTAAAATAAGGGGCAAAATGGACATTTCATATCCTCAAAAATCGTATTTGTCTATAATTTTAAAATTACCCTTAATTGTCACATCTTGACCTATTTATTTGATTTTGACAATATAATAAGGATTTTCATTGACAATTTTAGGTCGGTTTGGTAAACAATATTAAAATAAAATATTTAAAAATTTGATTTCAATTTAAACTATGGTTCAAAATGTGTTTGATAACATATGAATAAAACTACATAATTAATTGTTGTTAATATAAACTATTTTTAATTAATTTTTTATGTTAAAATAATTTAAAATTTAAATTTGGGATACATTAAACACATAAAATTGTTGTTGTTTTTTACTATGAGAACTCGAACAATATAAAAAAAAACATAAAATAAAATTTTGAATACTCCTTAATATCTTAAAATTATAATATTGTTCTTTAAAATTATAATATTGCCATTCAAAACAAGAATTTAAATTTAAAATTAAATAATAATATATTACTTCAACTAATTGAATTATAAATTTTAAATAAAAAATTTAGAGGATTGCCGAGATCCACGGCTAGCAGATATTGTGAGGCTCTCCCTTTCGAGCTTTTTAAAACGCGTCTGCTAGGAAAAAGTTTTCACATTCGTTCCTTTTCTCCAATCGATGTGGGATCCCCACTTCCATCGCCAGCAAATATTGTGAGGCTCTCCCCTTCAAGCTTTTTAAAACGCGTCTGTTAGGGAAAAGTTTTTACAACTAATGTGGATATCAAAATTATATATATATTTCAAAAAATTTCAAAATAGTTTTAATTAAAAATGTAAAAAATTCAATAAAAAAATTTGACATATTTAAATATTATCAAAAGAAATTAAAAAAAAAAAACAAAAAAACTAACTATTGGCACAAAAAAGTCAAAGAAGCTGACCAAAGACAAAAACGGTCGGCCATGACCTTGACCGTTTGAAAATTCAAAATCCCCATTTTTGTATTGGCTTTTTACATGCCCGCCTACCCCCGCACGTGCGCCGCACCGCAATCTTTGAGTCCAAGTTCAAGCCTTCAAAAAATAAAATAATAATAATAATTTTTAAAAAATAATAAATTATTACATTTCTGCACGATTTTAATTAGGAGGTTTAAAAGACCTTCCTTCTAATTATTATAATATTATCTTTAATTTATAGGTCGACATATTTTATTTTATTTTATTTTTTTTAAGAAAAGGGAATTCAAGATGACGTTATTTTATTACACACCATTAAATAAATATATTTTAATTGTTATCTTTACTAAAAAATATTAAAAATAAAGCATAGTGCCAACTTTGGCATTGTATAATATATATTTTTTATACAAAATTAAAAGGTTATGATTTAAAACATTAGAATAAGTATTATTGGGGAGTGGGTGTCAATTTTTTATCCATTTAAATAAATTATAAAAATGGGTTAAATCATTTTTAAATAATTTGGATCTCGATCTAAGTTTTGTATCTAAAATTTTATTTTATTTTTATCGAAAGGGTTATTTTAAAGTTTTGAAAGTAAAAAAAGATAAAATATGACGCTTGAGTAAAATAGATATACATGAATTAATCGAGACTATTTCCAAATGATTAGGTATGTGCATGAGTTGGGTTTGATGGTCGAGTTGGTGGCTTTGAGAAACTCTAATAGAGTTTGCAACTTTAACATATTTGGATGTACATTGTTGAATGATAAAAGTCTCACATCATCATCATCTAGTAGTGAATGATCATGGGTTTATAATCAAATAATACCTTCTCCATTAGTATGAGGCCTTTTGGGAAAGTCCAAAGCAAAGTCATGAGAGCTTTTATACTCAAAGTGGACAATATCATACCCTGGAGAATCGTGTTCGTCTAACATAGTTGGGTTCCATGGTCAAATTGGTGACTTGAACAACCGTTTGTATCTATGTATAATATATGACGTAAGTAACTAAAATCTCATAAAATTCAAATATCAAACATTTTCAAGTCACAATGCATCACTAATATCGGCTACAAAGGTAAAACAATTCATAATATTCATACTAATTTTAAAAATTGGGTTGATTCAATTAAAAAAATGTCAACTCGCGAACAACTCATTAATCATAGAAATTTTAGACTTAAAGCATATTTGGCTCAAAATAATCCTAAGTTAGGTGATCTAACCCAGAGTAATATAAAGAAAAATAATGGAATTAAAATAAATGATAAAATAATAATGGAATTAAAATAAATGATAAAATGTGGAAGCCATGTGATAATGGGCATCCAAAAGGAAATATTTATTTTTTAAAATACAAATGATATAAATTCAATAATTAATTCATATATATATATATATATATATATATATATAATTTGTTTTTAGCAAAAATAATTAAGTTGAAATAATATATATATATATAAAGAAAGCTAATTTATTAATTAATTGAGTAGACATTAGCATGACAAAAAAATAAAATAAATAAAAATAATAATAAGAGAATAAAATAAGGATAGTTTTAAATAAAAAAATAATTATTATAAACTTTTTCAATGGTTAGAACTATATGTACTAAAAGAGCTTAAATAGCTCAGGTTCGTTTCTATGGATAGTGTTCACTCCAATAATATCGATAAGGTAAGATAAGTAAGGTGGCAAGGTTAGGATTGAGTTGCACCGAAAAATGTTGACAATTAGGTGCATTTTTTATCGAACTAGCATATGTAGGGGGTATAAACTGGTTAGGTGGTCGGGTTGTACTTATTTATAATACATATTCATTAATAATTAAAATCTCATAAAATTCAAATATCAAACATTTACAAGTCACAATGCATCACTAACATCGGTTATAAATGTTAAACATTTTAAATCTTTTTAAAAGTATACAAGTCACAATGCATCACTAACATCGGTTATAAACGTTAAACATTTTAAATCTTTTTAAAAGTATAGTAAAGTTCAAGTGCAACCTTATTTACGGATTGGTAAGTGTAACGACCTATGCCTAGGATTTAGACTAGATTCAGAATTTGTATTCAACACCTGATGGCTCTGACATTTTCGTGCAATATGGTCACGTTATCCTACTCATTGTTCCGTACACGTTTAACCATAGAGTTTTTATAACTAAACCATTGAAAGAGAGATGCACCCTATTAGAACTTTTAAGCTTTTGTTAGTGATTTTATTCTCAGGATCACTCTCATTTAAATATGGTCTCAGTTCATTCATGTACCCCTCATTTACTCGGGTGTCGTAGTCAAGTTGACCCGTATAAAAAAATATCAACCTGTAAACCGAACTGAGGTCCGGACTGAACCCAAATAAAAAAATATATAACCCAAAATATCGTAGTGGGCTTTCAAAAGAATCAAGGCCCAAATTCCCTCCTTCCTCTCAGCTTCCTCTCTCTTTAATTAAACTAAAGATTATAAAATAATTAGAACATCAAACCTTACACAAAATCTATTAAACACTGAATTGGATATTGTTTAAAATTAAACAAATATAAATTTAATTTCAATTAAACACCTAATTTAATCAATTAATAATAATTAAATTACAGTTCTAAATATATTAATCCAAGCCGCTCTTAACTTTATAATATAAAAATGATTCCTTTTGTTTTTTTTCTCTCTCTAGAAATATTCCTTTTATTTTCCTTTATGAACAAACAAATTTTCCTTTCATGGTTGGTGTCTCCTTCTCAAACCCGGGTCAAAAATGATAGGTGTCGTGACATTCATTTTTTAATGCATTTTTACCCGAAGGGTCATACATAACTTAATCGGGAATGAGTATCATGGATTTTTCACCTTCATAGCTCGTGTCGGTGTCGTGACATTCATTTTTTAATGCATTTTTACCCGAAGGGTCATACATAACTTAATCGGGAATGAGTATCATGGATTTTTCACCTTCATAGCTCGTGTCGTGATTCTAGAAGCTTCTTGTATCGGGCTGATGAATGTATGAGCTCGACATATCTGACTAAAAACATATGCAAAAATATTGTCTTTTTAATTTTGATTATTTGAGTCAAAATAGTTTAGTTTTTTAAGATATAATTATTGTTTAAAGGTACAATTGAAAAATATTTAAAAGATTAATATTTTAATTTCCCCATCTCATAAATCCCTTTTAAATTTTTTAATCCTATTATAAAAAGTTAAAAAAAGGTTATATTAAAGGAGGCACGTTGTAATAAGGACAACTTTCAAGATGAGTGAATCTAAAACATTCTAGAAGCCTTATCCATTTACATTTCTCTCACTAAACTTCTAGAAGCCATAAATATACGTTTTTTTTAAAATGATTTGGTCGCTAACTCTTTTTAATTATTGAATAAATCAATGTGACACCCGAATAAAATAAGAGTATATGAATGAACGGACATCATATTTAAATAAGAGCGATTATCAAGATAAAAATCCTTATAGAAGTTGAAAGTCGCTACATATATTAATAGTGTGCACATTTCTTTTCGGTAGCTCGATCATAGAAACTCTACAGATAAGTGTGTTTTATTTTGAGTAATTTCAGGTTGGATGAGCTCTTAAGACATTAAAAGAATTATTTTTAGAATACATGTGAGTGAGAACAAAGCATACTACATGAACTTGTGTTCGTCCGTGGATAGTCTCCCTCTTAGATCGCAGCTAAAACTCAATTGAACTCAAGTGAATTCAAATTAACTAAATCATAAAATATTTGGGTCGGGCTTGGTTGGATTAGTTTCAATGGTTTATGTCATTTTTCCATTTTATTTTTATTTTTAATAAAAGTATAATGTTAATATGTAAAATTTATTTCAATTCAATTTCAATATATATTTTAAAAAATTAAATTCTAAAAATTTAAAAGTTTATTTTTAAGAGTTAGTATAAAATTAAATAAGGCTAAAATAAATATATGTATATATAATTATATTGTAAGTAATTTTTAAAAAATTAATATTAAATTTTGATGGATTCGATTTAACCGAGTAAAATTAATTAATATTTTTTGAATTATTGATTTGTTCAAACATTTAATATATATATATATATATATATATATATATATATATATATATATATATATTTAATAAGACATTAAATTTTTAATTTTATGTTAATTAAATTTTAAAATTTTAAAAAATGTTAGAATATGACAATCGAGAGATCTAGAGACAAATATATATATTTATAACAGTTAGCAGTAACAGTCAGTCGTTACAAACTAAAATTTATTAAAATATTATAGTTTTATTTGCTTATTCAAACTAACATTAATATTTTAAACAAACCATGTGAAATAACATGACTTGTTCTTTCTAAAGGTTGTCATAAATGCATATAATATATTTTTAATTAGCAATTGTCGTAGAATTCAAAGATAATATGAACTACGCAAAAAGAAAAAGAAACTAAAAAGATTCTTCGCGCATTAATATTTTAAATCAATATTTTAGTCGATGTCATGCATGTAATGATAACTTTATTTTTAATAAGAAAAATATGTTTGTTACAGATAACGTATATAACAGCTCAAGCCTACAATTAACAAACATTGTTCGTTTTGACCCATTACGTATTGCCATCAACATCATGATTTTAAAACTTGTATGTTAGGTAAATGTTTCGTTCCCTTCTACAACCGATATGAGATCTCAGAATCCTTCCCTTAGAGGCCAACGTCCTCGCTGGCACACTACTTGATGTTGACTCTAATATTATTTATAACAGTCCAAGCCCACAGCTAACAAATATTATCCGTTTTGGCTCGTAACGTATCGTCATCAGTCTCATGATTTTAAAACGCGTATGTTACGGAGAAATTTTTACACCCTCATAAGAAATGTTTCGTTCCTCTCTTCAACCGATATGAGATCCTCATAATCTTCCCCCTTATGGGCCAATGTCTTTGCTAGCACACTACTCGATTTTTGATTCTGATGTCATTTGTAACAGCTAAAGCTTACCACTAATCGATATTATCCGTTTTGGCTTGTTACGTATTGTCATTAGCTCCATGGTTTTAAAACACATTTGTTAAAAAAAAGTTTCCACACCCTCATTAGAAATGTTTTGTTTCTATCTCTAACTGATGTGAGATTTCACAATCCTCCCCCTTAGGGGGCCAACGTCCTAGTTGACACGCTGCTCGATGTCTAACTCTGATACCATTTGTAACAGCCCAAGCTCACCGCTAACAGATATTATCTACTTTGACCCATTACAAATGTCATCAGTCTCGTAATTTTAAAACACGTTTATTAGAAAGAAGTTTCCACACCCTTATAATAAATATTTTGTTTCTCTCTCGAACCGACGTGGGATCTTAGAACATGACTTATTCTTTTTAGAATATATTATAATATATTTTTAGAACTCAAACATAATATGAACTACAAGATTCCTTCCATCTTGAAAAAGGGCAAATTGGTTGAAATTTGAAAATGGGCATAAAAGTGATGACTTGTTCTTGAGATAGCATTGAATGTCACCTCATCTAAAAGCTATCAATTTGCTATCATTTTTGTCTTACCAAACCAAGTTGGGGCCAACAGTTTGGTATACACTTTTCAAAACGCTTCAAATAACACCGATACATCTTTGTCAGATTTGAATAGGGACGAAGAAAATTCAACACTCTTTTGGGTTTTTGTTTTCAACTCAAGCTTTTGTTAACGGTTAATATTGTCGCCTTCTTATCGTTTTTTTTTTATTTAAATTATGAATCGAAGTACGAGAAAGTTTCAAACCGAGTTGAAAACTTCAAACTAACCAAAATTATAAGAACCTGTGTTAATTTACGAGATAACAAGAATAGTTCGAGTCAAGTCAGTAACGATCTGAATCCATATTCTAAATCTTGGGCATGAAAACCCTAATTAACCTTTTTACTCCGGACAACAAAACGAGATTATCTAATTATTTGATTCGTTTGACTTTAATAAGTCAACAAAAATCATTTTGGAGTAGGTAAAAACTTGTAAAAGAAAATCTTGTTTTAAAATAATATTTAAAATAAAAATCCCAAATGGGAAAACAATTAAAATTAAATAAATAAAGAAAATCTTTATAAAGAAGAAAATTTCTATTTAAATTTTAAAAAATAAAAAAATGTTAATTAAATAACAATATTTATTAAAAGTAAAAGTCAAAATTACTTGAGTGAAAGAAATACAAATTCAAGAAATACACAATCTCCTCTCAATTAAATGATAAATAATTCCCCTTTTGACCTCAAACCTCACCTTAATAAATTTGCTTCCACATTATTCTTTGAAAACCCAATTTGGTTTTTTAGACTTTATTCCTCATTATTTATTTTTATATTTGAATATTTTAATTTAATATATTGATAAATTAATTATGTCACATGTGACAAATGCCGAATAATATTATGATATTAACATTGGTATATAGAGTAAAAATTATAATAAATATTTTTTTATTATATAGTTAGATTATAATTTAGACTTTTTGATATTTAAATATTTAAATACTTTACTTGTAACGCTGACATATTACCCTTGTCAAGTTACGAACTTTTTATTATTTATTTATTTATTATTAATTAAGCTTATAAAACTATATAAACATTATGATTTAAATATAACAGCATAAAATTAAAAAATAATATTATTTTTAATTCACGTTAATTAATTAATTAATATATCAATATATTAAATAATACTAGTTTTAATTTATGATTATTCTCTTACATTTAATTAATTAAATTTTTTATTAAAGAAATGTTAAAACATTATATTATATAAAATATATAATTTTAAAGTAATTAAGAGTAGAAAATAGGTATTAATAGTATTTTAATATTTTTATATGTAATTATTTAATTTTGATTTATAAACCTAAATATTTAAATCCTAAATAAAACAACAAATTTCAATCATTACCTTATCCAAATTGAAAATAAAATAATTTTACAAAACTATTAATATTTATTTTCTTAAAAATTATTTATTTTTCCCATAAACGAACCTGGAGGTGGAAAGGGGAAGGAAACGGATTAGGCTGCAAGTAAAAAGACTATTTTACCCTTTGGCATAGCCGTCAGATCATTTCTTTTGACTGAATCCAACGGAGGAAATTAAGCGAGAAGGAAGGTTCCCCTGCGCATCACCGAAGGGGCAAGGGTCCAAAAGCATATAAATACCTCTCCACTCTCTTCTTCCACTCGAATATCACATAAACCCTAATCTTCTCCATTTTTGAACCTCAAGTTCTCTCTGTAATCTATGGAACTTGTGAATCTGGAGGAAGCTGCTGCGTTGGAGAATATTAAGCTTCATCTTCTCGGCGAACTCTCTCCGTTGCCGAGGAATTTGGCTTCTGATGATAGCCTTTGCGTCACGTCGTCGGATCGTTCGGTGAGTTCCGATGCTTCAACGACGTCTAACTGTCCTCTTACAATCACTGATTACTTCGATCCGGATGATTTTTTCGAATTTTCCTCTGATTTAATCCAAGATGAGTCGTCGATTTTATCAAACGACGATTTCTTCGGAGTCGAGATGAAACCTAACGTCATCGATCTCACGATGCCTAAATCGGAGGAATTTCTCGAATTCGAGACGAAACCTAGTGTTTTTGAGGATTTGAGTTTGAGTTCGAGTTCTATGTACAGTAATAGTTCATTTGAAGTCGAATCGAAGACGAAATTGATCGGTCGTGTGACGAATTCGAATAGGAAACCATCGAATTTGAAAATCTCGCTTCCGAACAAGACTACGCAGTGGATTAATTTTGACGCGGCGGAGAAGAAGAATCCGGTTGTGGTGCAGAGGAGTAAAGATCTCGAGGCGGAGAAGAAAGTTCATTACAGAGGCGTTCGACAGAGGCCTTGGGGAAAGTTCGCGGCCGAGATTAGGGATCCGAATCGTCGTGGATCTAGAGTCTGGCTTGGAACTTTTGAGACGGCTATTGAAGCGGCGAGAGCGTACGATCGTGCTGCCTTTAAACTTCGAGGTTCCAAGGCGATTCTCAACTTTCCGCTGGAAGCTGCGAACTCTTACTACTCGGAGCCGATCGTCGCCGGGAAGCGGCGGCGGGAGGAGGAAGTAGAAGAGGTAGTCGAGGCGGTGCCGGTGAAGAAAGAGAAAACGGAGGAGATGAACTTCCCGGCCGCCGACGTCAGTTTCCTAAAGGATATGCCGCTAACGCCGTCGTCATGGTCGATGGTATGGGACGGGGAGTCGAAGGGACTTCTAAATATTCCGCCGTTATCGCCGTTATCGCCGTTCGGTTTTCCACAACTTATGGTTGTATAACATTTGGGGGAAAACACCATTTTTTTTACATTTTTTTCCCTTCCTTTTCATTCTCTAAATAATTAAGAAATTGTCTGTTTGTTTATTTGTAAAAAAAAAAAAAAAAAAAAAAAAAAACCC